AGCATTTCACATATTTTAAAGAGCTAAGACAGACTTGAAAGATAAAGATATGGGCAGTTCTGTCATATTTAATAGCACAATTGTCCCAACAGTTTCCAAGCACTTAAAGTAATATGAAAGGTCTCTCTTTTATGAACTGTTCCCACTCCATCGCTGTTTCCTGTTTTCTGTAGTGACCCCAAGGTACTGTAGACACTTTGGTATTTGAAAAGCAGTTCCTCACATTTTTTCCACATTTACAGCACTGACTTCTTTTGAAGAATTATTTGAAAAATTAGGACCTCTCTCTGGGATGGATAAATGGGTAAAATAAAAAAGGAAATCTAGGTGATATTAAAAAATAAAAACAAACCAATAATGATCTTTTATTTAAAAAAGAACATGAGGAAAAGTGACAGGAGGAACTTCATGATCATCTTTATTTATGAGGTAAATTATAAATTCCATAACCACCAATCAAAATGGATTTTATTTAAAATTCCTGCATAGATTGATTCTAACTTTATGGTAATTACAAAAATGTCTAAAATTTTGCTTCACATTAGGAATTAAAAGAAACTTTGATATCTGTTTTTAAAAATAACCTTCTTTTCTGACTATGTTCATTTCCCCTTTCTCTAGTAATCCATCAATTATAAGAAAGATTAAAAAAGAGGAGAAAATGCAGTGCAATCTAGCAAAAAATAAATGAGATCAGGGGATTCTGCAGATATCTATCTATCTATCTATCTATCTATCTAATCTATATACTCTACATAAATAATCTCCTAGCTTAGTCATTATAATGATGATGTTGATAGTGTTCATTCTTTTGTGTATTCTTTTTTTTTTTTAGCATAGTAATTGGTATGCACATTTTTCCTAGTTCTTTTTTATTTCATTTAGCGTAAGTCCATATAAATCTTCCCATGATTATCTGAATTCTTTTTTTTATTATTGCTTAGGGTATAGAAATATTTTTTACATATATAGACCATTTGAGAGAATATATTTAATAATTCTATGATCCATAAGACAACAATACTTTTTCATTCTTTAAAACCATAAAAATTTAATATGAATATTTTGACCACTTTAGGATATGTGCCTATTAATCGAATCTCTAGGTCAAAGAGCTTGTGAATTTTTGCCATTTTGTCAATAAAATTCCAAGTTGTCTTCCAGAAATTTTATAAAATAAATTTATAAAACCATCAACAAGGCATCAGTACCTTTCTTTCCACAGTCCCTCCAATAATAACAGTTCAAATCTTTCATCTTTGCCAATTTTCTAGACATTAGCTGAAACCTCAGTTCTTTGGATTAGTGTATTTTAATATAAGTGATTTGAAGCAGTTATTTATGTTGGTTATGGTTGTTTTGACAACTATCTGTTCATACATTTTCACTTTTCGTCCATTCAGATAATGGCTTTGGGCTTTACATGTTTGCATCTCTTCCTTCTCCAATTTACCCTCCAACTAGGTGTCATTTTGATTTTCCTAAAATACGTGTCTAAGCATGACAACCCTTATTCATTAAATTCCCAGTTATCTATGAGATCACCTATAAAATGATTTGTCATTTAAAGCTTTTCATAACCTGGCTGTGCTCTACATTTCTAGACTTCTTACACTCTATTGTCTTCCATACGTTCTTGGATCCAGGCATTTTGAACCACTTAATCTTCCTTTCACTCAGTTCTCCTTCCATCTCAGTGCATCTTCACTGGATTTTCCTCATGTCTACAGTACTGTTCCTTATTATCTCCATTTCTTGAATTGCTGATTTCCTTCAAAACTACATAATGCAGAAAGACTTTCCTGGTAACCTATCTAGTACTGTCTTCCCTTATATTATTTTCCTTCTAAACTCTTTATATCTTCTGTGTGGTGCAGTAGATGGAACACTGGATCTAGAGGCAGTAAGAACTGCATCTAAATCTTCCTCAGTCACTTCCTCGCTGTGTGACCTTGGTCAAGTCACTTATCTCCTCTCTGCCTCATTTTCCTCATCATAGGTGCTAACAATAGCACCTATGTCACAAAAATATTTTGAAGATAAAATGTGATAATATTTGTAAAGGGCTTTACAATACTATATACATGCTAGAATATGATGATGATGGTGATGATGATGATAACAATAATAAGTTTTCTCACCCATTATAATGAGATATCCTTTAGGTCACGGAGTGTTTTTTTTCTTTTTATCTTAAGTTACATAGCAGGGCCTGGCACATAGGCACTTAATAGTTTCTTATTAATTTATTATCTGGTTGCATTGTTTTGTTACAATAAAAGGCTCTTATTTTTCATTTTCATGTAATCACAATTACATTTTATATTTCTGTGGCACCTACATCCACTGTTTTGGTTAAGAATTCTTCCCCTAGACATAGCTGTGAAATGTACTTGATAATCTTATGTGGTTTTTCCAGCGATGTGTGTGTGTGTGTGTGTGTGTGACCTTTAGTATTCAGTTAGTATTTCCATTTTGAATGCATTGTGATATATGATATATGGTATATGATATTTAAATTCCTTTTCTAATGAACTGCTGTGTATTTTTCCAAAGAGTATCTGCCAAAGGTTAGTTCTTACTCAAGTAGTTTATGTTCTTGTGCTTATCTGACAGTGGGATAATGAATCTTATGATCTTTAATCTTATCTGAATTCCACTGCTTTACTTTTACATGTTTAAACCCATATCAAATAGTTTTGATGATTACTATATCATATAATTTGGACTTAGAAAGTACTCTTTTCCTTTCTTTCCTTCTTTTTTCATTACTATCCCTTGAGGACCTAAACATTTTTCCTCCAAATTAATTTTGTTACTGTTTTGTCTATCTGAAAAAAAAATGTCCCTTATGAGTTTCTTTACCACAGCACTAAACATGTGAATTATTTTTGTAGTATTGTCATTTTCTTTTATATTGGCATGACATAAGCACAGGAAGTTGCATCTTAGAGAGAAAATTGTTCTTGATTTTTTTTCATGTAATTTATTTATACCTGCCTTTGAGTCCTCGACTCATTTAAGTGCTGAATAGTTGAAATAAATTATTTCATTTTTGTTAGGAAAAAAGTGAGGACTTTTGGGGTATATAAAACCCATTATAATATCTTTATCTTCTTTTCAGTGAGTCATATTTTACTCTTCTTACCAAAGAAAGGAATTTAGTGTCCTGAATACTTAAAATGTAGCTGAATTGACTATGTTCATGTTCTCCTTTGGAATCACAGAATTTTAGAGATTGAATCTTTGAGACTATCTCCTTTAACCACTTGATTAAATAATGTTAATTCCTCTAAGTAAAAGTGGAGTGTAACACATCTTTTATTAGCTCTTTGAGGAGAATCCATCCTTGGATATGGATGTTTTTATATAATTTTAAGAAAGAAGACATTTGTCAATATGATTGTTGCCTTCTATTCCAAATTTAGTTTTCTAGGTTTTTGGTCTTGATAGATATTAGAGTTATATACCCGCTAAATAAGAATTTGATTAGAAGGAGGCATCAAGGGTAGATGATAGCAATCTTCACCTCTAGGTTCCCTAAATTATGAAGAGCTTCTATCCTTTTTTTCTTTTTCTTATTTTTTTCACCAGCCTCCCCAAAAATTCATACTTTCAGCCTTTTCTTGTTGTTGACCACTCTCATGCTGGTTGCTTGACCTCAAATGAATGTTCTACCTTATTTCACCCTTATTGATGAAGTCAAACTCTCTAGTCCATTGACTAGGGCTGATAGTTACTAGCTACATTACTTTGAGATTGAAATTTCATTTCCATGGATCTTGGCTTCCTCAGCTATCAAATTAGGGGATAGGAATAAATGATCTCTTAGGTTCTTTGCCACTTTAGAATTCTGTTTCCATTACCTAGACTGGCTTCTGAGTCTCATCTTTTATGGAAGTCATGTGTCCCACGAAAAAAGGCACAGAGGATTTTTTTCCTGCACAGATATTTTCTGGCCTTTCAATCAAATTCCAGTCTTCTTTACCTTCAGATGCATGCTAGAGCCATGAAAAAAAGACATGACAATACATAGAATAAACCTCTGATTAGTCTTTCTCTCTGTTTCATACCTCCTATTTGCTCTCAGAAAACTGAGGCATCACCCATATTCCTTCCTGGGTTTAGTTGTTTTCTAGCCTTCAGTTTTCAAATAAAAATAAAGTACTTATACACAGGAAATAATATCAAACCATTACTGTAACTACCTCTCCCTTCCCATATACACATCTCATCTAGACATATAAGTGTTTTATGTGATTAAAGGAGATAATATTTGTAAAAAACACTAAGCATGATGTCTGGCAAGTAGTGGGTAAGATATAGATATGTATTCCCTTCCCTCATATGACCACCATTATAATAGCAACAAAATGCATTTAACTTTGAAATGGCACATATGAAATTAAATATCATAAGAAGCATTTTACTTCATCATTTTCTTGTTTTTTTTTAATGTATACATACACATTATCTAACTAAATCTCTATCTATATGTGTTTTTTCCAATTAGCAAAAATTTGCCTTCTTTCATTTTCCTCCAAACCCCCAAATGAGAACATAAGCAAAACAAACGACTTGTTATAAACTTGTAGAGTCAAACAAAATAAATTAATGCATTAGCCATTTCCAAAAAGAAATTCTCATTCTGAAAGTGAGACTTCTACCTCTCTGAGGTTTGTAGCATATTTCATCATTGGTCCTATTGAATTGAGGTTGGTCCTTATACTGAGAAGAATTCCTATAGCATTTGCATGATAACATGAAAAGAATCATATCAGTTTTACTGACCTTGTTTTATTTAGGATGTTAAAAAACACAATATCCACAAAATCAACACTTAATTTCATTTCTAATGGTATTCACAATACTACTCAAATATAATAATGAAGCATGTTGGTAGGTGAAAGAATCTTCAATAATAAAATGCTTTAAAACCTTGGAAATAAAATGGGAATAATATGACATAAAACACTGATTTTTTAAATTTTAACTTGCAGATGAAAGGGAAGATGTTCAAAAGAAAACATTCACAAAATGGATAAATGCACAATTTTCTAAGGTAAGGATATTTTCCCTATTTGAAGATAGACCTAGTAGCTGTTTAATATTAAAAGGTATATTATCTATGTCAGGGTTTTTTTGCCATTTGAAGTCAGAAAATTTTTTTGGCAAGACTTTATTTTAGTGAGAAAAGAGCAAAGAGGAACATTAGGACTGTATGATTATTAGTTCTAATGAGAATAAGTGAACCTACTTCTTCCTTATCAAATTGGCCTGAGCGATGATATAGACATTCAATTATAAAATTCAAGAAGATGCTTATAACAGTAATTTTGTAGCTAGTAGACATTATTTTTTTTTTACTGGTCATGATGATTGTTGATAATTATTATGAATGATACTTTTTTAATAAAAATATCATTTCATGCATATTATGTAATGTATATAGGTATTCAACTTAATTGAAAAAAAAACTGACATAACTGCCAGTAGACCATTAATTCAGTCAGTTAGGGAAATGATCCTAAGAAGATTTGATCTTGACACAAACATTATAAAAACATTTCAAGAATCTCAATAAGTTTATCCATCATGCAAATGCAATTCCCAGCATTAATCTCTGTGCATACACACACACACACACACACTCACATACAAATACACACAATTTCACGTAAACATTGTGTTTTAAAAAGGAAATTATTAATGATATTTGTATCTTTAATCCAAACTCATTTTTGAAGTATCATGAATCAGCCATTATCCCATGAGATAATGAGATATCCCATGAGATTTCTCAAAATTAATTCTGTCTCACCCCTGATTTCAAGGTTATTTGTCTAAGGTACAGAGAGTTTCACAAAGAAATTTCCATCCATTTTGAAACTTTATTGTAACAATGCAGTAAGGCATTCTCTGGCAGATTTTGGAAAAATAAGTCTTTATTTCTATCATTAATATTTAATACACTATTAATGGTTTGGGAATTTACACATTTATTGAATGGAGAAGACTCGAGGAAAAATTATAAGACTATTGAAAGAAGAATTTGTTGAATGAAGAAGTTTTCTTAGAAGACAAAAGGCTTTATTCAGTTATTTGAAAGGTTATCATATGAGACAGGAATTACACTTTTCTGATTGGCCATGGGGGACAGTGATAAAAGCAAAATTAGGAAATAGATTTGCATTCATTATATGCAACATATTCCTAATAGTTTAATCTATACAAAAGTATAATTGGGCACTTTATGTTCTGACCTACTACACATCTTAAAGCTGAGACTAGATGACTATATAATGGAGATATTATATCTATATAGATATAGATATAGATATACACACTCACATATACACATTCCTTATTCAGGTACAGGTTGAAACAAAGTATCCCTCAGCTTCCTTCTAATTTGATTTAGAATTCCTCTAATTGGTCAGTTTTGTTAATGTTACATAATGATTAAATTTTATTTACCGTAAAATCACTTTTTATATCATGATCCAAGTATAGTAGTTTTTTTTAAATCAAATCATAAAAATGTATAAAGAGATTTAAAATGCATGTTTATTAACAGATAACTGTAAAAAGTCCGGGATGTTTTCATGTTAATTTTTATCGTCATCTAGAAAATATTTATTTGTCTATATTATTAGGCAGGTAAGTGATATAACAAATAGTGTCCTGGACATGGAGTCAGAAAGACTTGAGTAAGCTGGACTCAGCTATATGACACTGGACATGTCCCTTAACCTCCACCTTCCACAATTTCCTAGTCTGTAAAAGAAGGATGATAATAGAACCTACCTCTGAGGGCTGTTGTGAATATAAAATACACAATGTTACAAGATATAAAAGATATATTTTCAAAGTGCTTAGCAAACATTAAAGTACTGTATAAATGCTAGTTATTATTGCTATTATTGGTTGAGAAAAGGCATTGCTTATACATCTAAAAATAAATAGAAATTAGAATTATTTCTATGCCATGATGATTAGCAGACACCAGGGGTCAACTAGAATTGCATCCTATTTTTCTAAAGATTATGATGTTGATTTTCACTTTTTAAATGAAAATATTTTAGATTAAGTATTTATATTTTAGCATCCAAAGTTTTCATCGGAGGTTAAAGAAGAAATTTTCGCTCTCTAGACTTTATCCATAGTTTAAATGAAATGCATGACAGTGTGTCTATTGAATCTTGATTAGATCCTGGAGTCATTCACAGTGATAAATTATATATCATGAATTGACTCACAGACAGTTTGCATGTTTTATAGCTATTTTACCTGAATAAAACTTCCATTTCTATTTTTTTCTTAGATTTTGTTACGGCTATAAGAAATACACTTCATGATTGTCGAATTATTTTTATTATTAAACTTTAATAAAATTATCTCAGTTAGAATTTTTTTCTTTACTGATTCCCTAGGGTTTTCTAACTAAACCAGCATGCCTTTATCAAATAAGGATAATTGTGTCCCCTCTTTGTGTTAATTCCTTTAATTCATTTCTCTTGCATTACCAGTCTAACTAGCATTTACTGAAATATGACAAATGATAGGGAAAAGAGAGAAAATTCTTGTTTTAATCTTGTATTTGTTTGGAAAGGTATTTTCTAAAATGGTAGATAATGTTAGATTTTGATTTTAGATATCTCTTAGTATCATATAAAAATGTTGTCAATATCTTTATTTTGTGGGGGTTTAGCATCAATGATTCCAAAGATTTTTTTTTGTATCACTTGATAAATCAGATAAATTTTTTAAAATTTTAATGTGATTAATTCTGTTAACTATTTTCCTAATGTGGAATCAGTTACAGATCATTGAAACACTGAAAACTCATTACTGAAACAAATGTGTTTGTGAAATTACCTCCAAGTATTTTTGTCTTTAAACTAGATAATAGATCTTATTAATCATTACATAAACAGCGTATTGCTACCATTCATGCAATTTGTATGTGTATAAATGTCCTTCATCAGAAGTTTTTGGAAAATATAAATTAAAATAGTTTTATTAAGAAAATTAAAATAACCATACACATTATAACTATATTGAAAAACAACGCATAGATTTCAAAAATATTTTTACTTCTAAATAAAGTTATTACTTCTTGATCACAAAGACTTGATCCTTCTTCTCAATGAAGAAATGTCAATAATTTTTTAAAAAATGATGGATATGGTTTGTTTTTGTTCTGCCCATCTTTAAGTAATTTGTTTCCAAAGAATAATAAATTGAGATATATGTAAAATTCTTTGCCAATCACTAGGTTATTAATTTTTGAGATCTGGTCACAGATTAACTAAAACCATGATCAAAATCTTTGGAATTGTCTTCCTACTATGAAATAAATGCAATGATTTTAAATCCATTTAAATTTTATACAAATAAATAATGCATCCTCAGAAATACTCCTTAAAATTGATTTTCCAGAAGATACAATATTAAAATAGTAGAATTTAAAAAATCATTAACTATAGGCCCAGAAGAATTTTTTAAATATTGTTTGATAGATTTTTAAATTATTGAATTTTCCAGAATTGTACTCGCCAATCAGACAAACAGAATTTGAATTATACATACATACATACACATATATACAAATATATGGAATAATACAATAGGTATGTAAATAATTTATAATTCATTTTGATTCCATATGTGTGTAGGGATATATATATATATGTGTGTGTGTGTGTGTGTGTGTATATGTGTGTGTGTGTGTATATATACATATACACATATATATGTATATTCACACACATATAAACATATTTTACTTGCAAAATGATAACAATAAAATAAGAAAAATTAGAAATTTAGAAAAAAATTAATAAGTAAATTTTAAAATTGAAAACCTCAAATTTAAAACAATTCATTACTTTTGAATAAAGATGACCAACATTTAAAAAGTATGCCCTAACATGCAAGCATGTACTCATAATCTAAATGGAATTTTTTCCTGTTTCATTTATATTTTTCCCAAGCATTAGACTTCTTAGATTCTTCTCGAAATATTGCTTCTACTTTCATGTAACTATCTCCTGTTGACAACATCTTCACTCCATAAAAGATATATAATATTTAGAGAAATCAAATGAGCTATTCTTTCTTAATTGATATCCCAGGTGCACAATTAATATGGTATATATTTAATCAAGACACTTATGAAGTATTTACCAGTTGATTTTTTTCCTATGTTTTCTGTATAAAAATAGATTTCAACTTTAATTTTGCTTCTATGATTATATCTTTTTTTTTAGGTAAAGCAGTAGTTATTATTTCTTAATATCAAAGTCAAAGTGCAATTTATAACCCTTCTCCGTGTCTTTTATTTTCTTTCATAATTCATCAAGAATCAATTGTGTCCACTGCAGAGGAAAATAAAGATTAGAAGGAAATGGACACAAATAGGGGATGGAATAGAATATTCTAGGGACTGATTCTTGGCTATGTGCTAGTAATATTTTTATCAGTATGAATAAAAGCATACATGGCATATGCATATGAAATTTGTAGATTACAAATAACTAGGAGGAATAGCAAAAATGTTGGTTGGCTTCAATAACTGAACCAGTGTCTAAATAGATTGTCTATTTCCTTAAAAAGGCTGAGTCTAATAAAGTGAACTTTCCTATAAATAAACATTAGGTCCTATAATTGGACTAAAAATACCCACTAAACAAGATGGGGTAAGTGTGGTGAGATTGCAGTTCATCTAGAAAATGTTCTGGGGATTTTAGGAGCTGAGAGGCTCAGTACGAGTCAACAAGGTTACAGTCAATAAAGTGAATGTGAGGGCGGGTGAGAGAGGGAAAACATGATTCTTCACCTTATTTCCAATATTTTGGCAAGATCCTTATTTGTTATGCTCTTTCACTGAGTCAGTGACATTTAAGTGACCAAATGTATGTAGAGCAGAGAAATTCGTGATTCTATGCTGTTATTTTTTAATGAGATGGGAAAGGAAAAACAACATAACTAAACAAAACCTGTCTGTTTGTAAAACTGTGAAGGATATTTTTCAGACTTTTTGCTTCCAACTTAGTATTT